TAACAAATTTTCCTTTCATTTTATAAAGCAATTTACCAGAGGGTTCCTTTATAGAATGAGCCTCCATAATACATGCTAATATGATTCCGCTTACAAATACTCTATTCATTATCACTTTTCTAGAATATACCTATTGTACAGAGTGAGGCTTAACTATCATCATTTTTTCCCGGCAGTATAAGGTTTCCCACTTCTGAAGAGTGATTGGACTGACCTTGTCAATCCGACTGGGGGAGGAAGCAACTCTTCTTCATTGTCTCCAAGAGGGGCTTTACCTGTTAAACAGCAAGCCTGCGGATTCTGGCTCTGCATTGTGTGATGTTGAGTAGTTGGTATAATTTTACATTTTTCACTAAGCTCCTCTCAGTAGCTGAAGCCAAAGTCCTAAAGTGTAAACTCGTCTCACTATTCTCTTACTTCATTTCATATACAAGATATACCAATAAAAATTGTTTGTTGGCTGGTCATGGTGGCTCATGCCTGTAATCCCAGCACTTCAAGAAGCTGAGGCAGGCAGATCACTTGAGCCCAGAAGTTCGAGACCAGCCTGGACAACACAGTGAGACCCCCATGTCTATCACACATACACACACACGCACACACACACACACACACACACAAAATTAGCCAGGCATGATGGCACACATCTGTGGTCCCAGCTACTCAGGAGGCTGAGGTGGGAGAATCCTGTGGAGTTCGAGGCTGCATTGAGCTATGATCACACCACTGCACACCAGCCTGGTCAACAAGGGAAAACCTTGCCTCTAAAAGATTAATTAGTTATTAATTAATTTTGTTGCTGATGTCCTGATAAATATGTGACAAGCAATACTTGTAAAAAGCAATGTTTCTCTGTCTTTTTAAAAAATTTCAAGGCATTATCTTATCTGAATTACAACATAAACTGGGGCAAGTATTCAAATTAGAGCCACCCCAGGAAAATAGGAAGTGATAGCAATTTAGGACCTGTCTCCTTCCCTCACTGGGTCCTGAGCCTGAATCTTCGCATGGCTTTGTGGTGTTATGCAATTGCTCTTTGTAAGAGATACATAAAATGGAAACCTTCGCTATTCATAGCCAACTTAGGAGGAGCTGAATTTGATCAAGAAGTTTCTTGCCGGGTACCATTTTGATGGTAACTACGTGTTTCTGAACAAATCCACTTATAATCTGGGTTTCAAATGGAGGTTATTTTAAAGAGCTGCCACATGGCTTTTGTTTTCATCCACTGTGGTGGCTGTATTTTAGAAGTAGACAAGCATTCCTGGTATATAGCGTGAATATTTTTTAGGATTTTTTGGTGGCAAAAGAAGCTCACATGGAAATGCAAGGGCAGAAAAAATCACATTCAGGGCAGTCCTGTGTGGCATTGCCCTCTGGTAAAGCAGATCCATGTTGCATGCTGCTAATGGCTATTGCATGACAGCTCTTAAAGGGGTAAGCGAGAGAGGCGCAGAGGGCTGGTAAGAAGCAGAGCTAGCAGCGAGGCCCTACAGATGGCGTCATCATCAACGGGGTTGGCGGGGCAGGGGTTGGCGGTGCTGCTGCTGCAGGTGGCTTGGCTGCCCTTGGAGGATGTAGCTTCTCACACTATATGGCAGGTAGCAATTCAGCCAGTTTTCAAGCCCATCACTGGCAGGGAAAGCACATTTAATCCATCTGTGAGGTTCTCTAAAGAGGGGTCTCTTTTCTTTCTTTCTTCTTTTTTTTTTGAAATAGAGTCTCACTCTGTCACCAGGCAGTAAAGTGGCATGATCTTGGCCTAGTGCAGCCTCTGCCTCCCGGATTCAAGGGATTCTTCTGCCTCAGCCTTCCAAGTAGCTGGGACTATAGGCGCCCACCACCATGCCTGGCTAATTTTTGTATTTTTAGTAAAGACAGGGTTTCACTATGTTGCCCATGATGGTCTCGATTTCTTGACCTCATGATCCGCCCACCTTGGCCTCCCAACGTGCTGGGATTACAGGCATGAGCCACCACACCCAACTGAGGGGTCCTCAGAAGTGACAAGCACTGAAATTGAAAACCGCAGCAAAAAGCCTTCGTTGCATTCTTGGATTCAGGCTGTTGCACTCCACCCCCTACAACTCTCTGAATTGTTGCTTCCCAGTTTTTATCTCAATCATATTTTTTTCTTGCTTCTCCAGTGCAGTATGTGGTGGTGGCAGGTACAGATCGTAAAACAAATGGATAAATACTGAATAAACTATATTAGTTCACTTTCCTTTTTCCCTAGTGGTAATTTTTTTGGGGGGTGGGGACAGAGTTTCACTCTTGTTTCCCAGGCTGCAATGCAATGGCACAGTCTCGGCTCACTGCAACCTCTGCCTCCTGGGCTGAAGCAATTCTCTTGCCCCAGCCTCCCGAGTAGCTGGGATTATAGGTGCCCAACATCACGCCTGGCTAAGTTTTGTATTTTTAATAGAGATGAGGCTTCGCCATGTTGGCTCTGGTTACCATTTTTAAACTTTTCAAAATTAACGCTAATGGTTCTAGAGGAATGGGATATACATTTCCATGTGTTTTAATGATCAAACAGAAGACCGACACCCGAGGGTGGCATATTTACCATTCTCTGCTATGCGGGGTGCTTCAAGGGAAGAGTTTTTGAAGCCCTGCGGTTTAAACAAAAAGAGAGCATACCCCACCCCACCCTGAGCAAACAGCAGCCAAGCAGATTTCATCTCGCAAATGGAAATGGGAGCAAACAATTTTTTTTCAAAGCGATTTTATGAAGAGTGGGCCTGTTTAATTGGGTTTTTTGAGCCAGGATTAATATTATAAGCTGGGGAGCTCTGTGACATGCCTGTTGTAGGCTTTGCCATACCGCCTGCCTCCTGGGGGAAGGCAGAGAAAAGCGCTGCTATTCAGAAGCAATTTTACTTCTGCCTCGGCCTTCTCATTTCTCACTGAAGTGCTTTGCAGCCAGCCTGGCCCCAGTGCCCAAGCCTGAGCTGTTACATGTAATGTTGGAAAGATCTTCCCCAAATCAAGGTCATGGCTAGAGCTTACCTTGGATGTTTTTTCCATTTCTAATTTATGTAACTTTCTAATATGTTTAGCATTTGCCCTTCTCTTGTCTCCATCCTGCTTATTAAGGTGAATTTGCATAGAAATGGGATCTTGGTCTTCAGGACCATTCACCTGACACTTGATCCCCTGAGGCGACCACTGTCTACTGTTGATACCATGAGGATGACCCACAGAAGCCATGTCTCTCTGCAAACTAGAGTTAAAGCCTTAATTAGAAGAAGCCTTGTGTGCTAAAGTGATGGGGTGAATCAAATCAGCAAAGGCATTTAGCATTAACTTAGGAGGGCAGAATACTCCTTCCTGTTGAGTGGGTCATCCTAGGTCACAACAATTTTGATTTGCCTTCGATAGATGGATCTGGAAGAAAGTGTACAAAAGTGTGTTTGTGGTGGTTTTGTTTGGAAGTACGTTTTGACTGGTGATAAAGCTCAGAGAGTTAACTATGACCTTTTACTTTGACTCCAGGACTATTTTTTGCTTAGCATCTACCTTTGAATGGGTAATATTCATCTCTATAAATTACCTGCAAAAGATGGAGCAATTGTGGAGAATCAGAGAACCGAGCCCCTTGCTATCACCCTGTTGCAGTCGGCTTTAATCCTCTGATCTCCTGGCAGCCACCTTCCTCATTAACCCAAATCTCACTTACTTGGGTAGGAATTCGCACTGAGAGGACAACTGTGGTCCCAGTTGACTGGTCACTGGAAGACTATTAGGTTTGAGGGTATTTATTTTCTAATCTAAAGGGTTTGAGATTTAGGGAAATTTTGATCAACAACAAAATAACAGCTTTCAAGATTGTCCTGACAGTAAGCTGTCTTCGCAGAGAATCACAGTATTTGATAGTCATGGAGATTAGGTCTCTAATTTCAATGAGAAAAGTTCACAGGAGATGGGAGGAACAGAAGAAAACTCATGCTGATTTTGGTCAGGCTACCTTTGCTGGGGAAAAATTCATTCCATAAAATTATTTTAACACATAAATACCATTTAGCTTTATCTTGTATAATGCTTTGCATTTTTTTTTTTAGATGAACTCTTGCTCTGTTGCCCAGGCTAGAGTGCAGTGGTGCCATCCTGGCTCACTGCAACCTCCGCTTCCCAGGTTCAAGTGATTCTGCTGCCTCAGCCTCCTGAATAGCTGGGATTACAGGCATGTGCCACTGCACCCAGCTAATTTTTGTATTTTTAGTAGAGACGGGGTTTCTCCATGTTGACCAGGCTGGTCTCGAACTCCTGATCTCAGGTGATCCGCCCGCCTTAGCCTCCCAAAGTGCTGGGATTGCAGGCGTGAGCCACCATGCCCAGTCTGCATCTATAATTTTGATTTAACCTTACAACTTTATTAATTGAATATTCCGATCACCATTTTATAGATGCGGAAACAGACTCGAAGGATTCAATTGTTTGCCTAAGACTGTACAGCTTTCTACCAACAAAATTGGGATTGGCGCCAGCTCTCTTGCCATTACATCCCCACTGTCTCCTAAAGCACAACTCTAGTTCATACTCAATGTATCACATAGGCTGACTCATTTATCTTTACATGGGTCTCATGCATTATGAGAAGGGGGCTGCTATTTTAACTCAATTCAAAAATACTAAAATCAAAATCTCAAAAATATACTTAGTTTATAATATAATCATAAAATAAGTAATCTGACCAATTGAGTCTCCCAACTCAAAGTCCAAAAGATGCTTTCTACTCTCAACCCATGCAGAAGGAAGCTGAGTTCCCCACTGGCCAATGCTGTCTAATTCTCTTAAATGATTCAGATGTAAGAGAGGAAATGGCATGTGTCTAATTAACACTGCCTGGTTAAATATAGCTGCCAAGGGACAGCCTTGGGACAGTGTTTACAGAATAGTCTTTCCAGCCCCTTGGGCCTCAAGTTACAGATGATAGCAAGCCTTCCCTCCTTATCAGCTGCAAACAGAGATGCCCCCAGAAGCGGTGTCAGGCCAGAATGATGAAAGGAGAAGGGAAAGGCTGCGGCTGGCCTTCATTTCCTGCTCCTGCTATCTGGGGATTCAGAGAATGATCCCAGGACCCAGATCTTGAAGATTCCAACAGCTCTTCCTGCAAACACAAGCCCTTGTGCGCCTGAGCCTTGCTCTCCAGCCTGGAGACATCCATCTGCCCACTCTGCTAGGAACTGCTGAGTGTCAGGAAGCACCATCGGCTCTGCTGTCCTCCTCCTGGCAAAGAGGCACAATGACCACATTATTTCTCTTCCAGCTTCACATTACAGCATGGAAGCTGTCGCCAAGTTTGATTTCACTGCCTCAGGTGAGGATGAACTGAGCTTTCACACTGGAGATATTTTGAAGGTAGGTAACGTGGGGCCCCAGGGGAGCAATAGGGAGTTTCGGTTCCTCAGTAATCTAACAGTCCCTGCCTCTGTCTCTCAACAACTGCCTGTGGTTCCTTTTAAAAAGAGAAGTTCACCTTGATTCCCTTTGCGCATACTTATACCAGACACCAACCAGGCCAGGTAATAGACATACAGAGTCGGCAGAAGCCACCATCCTGGTCCTGAGAGGTTCATCGTCCGGAGAGGGGAACACATCCACCCCAAAGAGCTGTTACAGATGTTCTTGGCTAAGTTCTCAGGGAGCACAGGTGAGGGAACAAGTGATTCCCCCTTGAAAGATAGAAGTTGGGCCGGGCGTGGTGACTTATGCCTGTAATTCCAGCACTTTGGGAGGCCAAGGCTGGTGGATCACTGGGTCAGGAATTCAAGAACAATCTGGCCAAGATGGTGAAACCCTGTCTGTAGTGAAAACACAAAAAAATTAGCCGGTCATGGTGGCGGGCGTTTGTATTCCCAGCTACCTGGAAGGCTGAGGCAGAGAATTGCTTGAACCCGGGAGGCGGAGGTTGCAGTGAGCCGAGATCTCACCACTGCACTCCAGCCTAGGCAACAGAGACTCTATCTCAAAAAAAGAAAAAATAGAAAAAAGATAGGGGTTGTAGGAGTGTGTGCAGTGTGAATGTCAGGAATGCACTGAAGGTGAGTCGGGCTTTTAGCTGAAGCTCACACATGTGCAAGCCCGTGCTAAATTCAGGGAGCAGCGCCAGGCTCAGCAGAGCTGGAACTCAGGAGGAGAGGCTGTGGGTGGAGACAGCTTGGGAAAGGCAGTCACAGAGGACGAGGCTCGACAAAGGCCATGCACACCTGGCCACTTAGGGGCTGCTTAAAACTTGTCCTCAGCCAGCACTTGAGTTGTAGTGGCCACTTGCTGAGCTGAAGTAACCTTGGGCTTCTCCCACATTCGTGCACCATACTTTCAGACTCTGCATCTTAGCCCCGGGTTTTTTTGTTGTTTTTTATTTTTTTGACCAAAGAGCACAAGCCCTTCAGGAGGCTATTTGGGAGTGTGTGGAGTCAGAGCCCCCCTCCCTGGCCTCAGGGCACCCTCAGATAGCCTGATCCCTGTTCCTCAGCAGCCCTGATGAGCCTTCTCAGATGTCCAGTGGCACAGAGGCCATTAGTGTCTCACCACCGAGAATTATGTTTGTTTTACAAAGAACCTCGTCAGCCTGTGAGAGGGTGACTGAAAGTGTCTGAGGAGCACAAAACACACAGAATGCTTTCTTGTGGAATATGAACATGCCCAGTAGGTAGCCTTCTAACTGCTCTCAACTTTCAAGATCTAGTAATGTGGTGGCAAAGCGTAGGCCTTCACAAACTTAAAATGAGTGGGGCCCGCTGACCCCGGAGAAGCTGTCTTTCCCTGCGTTGGGATCTTACCAAGCTCCTGGAGGGACTTGCTGTGCGGTGAGAAGGTGCTGCCTCCCCATGGGGCACTGTCACCACGTGACTATCAGCCACTGAAGTTGATGCATCCTGGCAGCAACTTCCACCCTCATCTTCCATGGCAAAAAGAGCCTGGTATCTTACTTAAGTTTTCTCTAGTCCCCAGAAAAAGAAAAAGGAAAAGAAGAAATAATTTGCTCAGCTCTGCTTCCCAGTCCAGTTCCTGCTTTCTTTTCTCTCCTTCGTTGCTAATACTGGGAAGAATTCTCTGCACTGGGCGCACTCCACTTCCTCCCTTCCCACTCCCTCCACAGCCCTCTGAAATCTGCCTTTTACCCTCCCCTCGACATTCTCTTGAAGTTCACCGGTGATCTCCTTAACGTGTAGTATAAGACCCTATGGAAGCGTTTGTCTGTGGGACTGACACTGCTAACCGGCCCTCTCCTGGAAGCCCCGTTCTCCCTGGCTCTGATGGCACCACCCTCTCTGGGTTCTTCTCCCCTCTTCCTCAGCACTCCTACAGGTCTATTTCCAAGGGTTCTTTTTCCTTTCTTGATCCTGAAATATACACCTCCCTGAAGATACTGTCTTTGGCTTTCTGATTTTTCTTCTCACTCTGAGCCATCTCGTCCACTTCTCCGATGGCAACTATCACCACTGTGCCAAAGACCCTCAAGTCTATGGTTCGTGTTCTAACTCTGACCTTGCTCTTGAACTCCAGACCCAGACTTCCAATTGTCTGCTGGATGTCCCCACAGGAACTCCAGCCCATAACTCAGTATGCCCAGATTCACTGAAACCTCCACACCCATCTCACCCCCACTTCCACCTGCAGCCACTCTTCCATCCGTGTTCTAAGTATTATCCTAGGTCAGTCACAAGCCAGAAGCCCTAGTTATCATCAGTGCCTCCCTTACCAAATCCTGGTGACCTGTAACCAATATCTCCTGAGCTCCTGTTCAGGGTCAGGATGCAGCTAAGTGGTTTGCAGGAGACATGATTTCCGCATCTCAGCAAACCTATGAGGTAGGCATTCATTTCCCCTCCATTTCACAGATGAGAAACTGAGGCTAGGGATTAAATCACATGTCCAAAGTCACGCAGCTAAAACATGACCAATCCAGGACCTGGACAGAGCTCTCTCTGACTTCTAAGCACTAAACTCTGCTCTGAATATATATTTTCCTCATATCTCTCAAGCAAGTCCCTTCTTCACCAGAAAAGAGTGTGAGGCAGTAGAAAGGAGCATAGACTTTGGGTCAGATGGATCTGAGTTTGAATCTCAGCTTACTAGCCGTGGGGCCCAGTCACCTGTCCCTGTTTGAGCTTTAGTGTCTTCCTCAGCAAGTGGAGGTAGTATCTATCTTGCTGGATTGTGGGGAAGATTTGAGGTGATGACTCTGGCCCAACACAGATGCCCAATAAATGGTAGCCCGAATTACCGAGATTATCCGTCCCCACTGCCTCTGACTGCTTAGATCATTGCCACAGCTCTTTGACTGACCTCATTGCCTCCTGTCTTTTTCCTCTTTCACTCATTCTACATACTACTCCCAGAGGGATCTTTCCAGACAAATCAGATCATATCATTTCCTTGCTCAAAAGCATTCAGGGGTTTGTAATTACTGACTGATTGAAATCGAAAACATCTGGCCCCAAACCACTGTCCAGTGTCATCATGCACATGTACACATGTGTGCACATACACACAGAGACATCTTTGTGGACATAATGCCCCTAGGTTGCACTGTAACTTGTACACCGCCCTTTCTCGGCCTCTCCCCTCTATACCCAGAGTGCCCCTCTCCCCTCACACACACATATTTGACCTCCTTTACCATGGAAACCTCACTGGTCCTCTCCACTCCCTACCATCCCAGGGAAACAAATCGTTCCCTCTTCAGCTCCTCCCCAGCATTTCACACAAGCTTCACTCATTTCCAGGCACTTAGGACTTTGCCTCACATGGCAGCTATTTATATGCAGGCCATGGCCTATGGTCTCAGGCACCCTCTGTTTCCACTTTTTATTGCTGCCTTTGCCCCGTGGGATCCTGACTGCTCATTTAATCCCCTGGCCAAAGCTGTGCAAGGGCAGGGGCTATGTCTGCCTCAGTGTCTAGAACTCCCTGATACTTGACGACTGGGTGAAGCTTTGATTCCCCTCCATTCCCTGAGATCAATGTCATTATACACGTGTGCACGCACAATGCAGATTCATCTTTGTGTCTTCATAGCATCTAACACAAATCATGGCCCCAAATAGATGCCCAGTACATAGCTCTTGAATTGCTAAATTGCATTTCTTCCTGTTCACTTAGAATTCCATCAGAAAACCTCTTTTCAAATTCTCTCTGTTGCAGGTAAAGAGAAAAATGGGGAGGGTTTGCTGACTGAGCCCCACAGAATGTCTGCAGGATTGTGGTTGGTGCCCATGCCTGGGGCTCCCCACACGTGATTGCAGTGTCTGCCCCCACCTTCCTCAATGGGTAATACACCCAGGATCCTCACAAATGCTTTCAAAGCCAGCTCCTGACTACCCCAGCAATTCGCTTCTGGGATGCTCTGACTCGTTTGGCCTTTTCTGCTAAAGACTAAACAGAGGTTTTCATTAGAAAGGCACAAAAAAATTCTGAGCAGCCACTCACCCTCAACAGACCGTGCATTTCCTGGAGCAGAGGCCCCAGCTTACTTATCATTCACCTGAGTACAATCTGCAGGTGCTCACTAGAAGCTGACCTGCACGGCATGGTAAACAAGATGGTGGACAGGAAACGCCGCCATGTGACTTGATCCTGCTTCTCCTGTGACAGAAACATTTGAAAAGTCAGGAATCAGATATTTTTCCTGTTCATACCACAAACCTCCATACCTGCAGCTATACACAGCACCAGCCTCACATTTGGATCTGCCATTAAATTTGCCAGTAGCTTTGGAAAATGTCTCTGGACCCAGTCCATTTCGGTGTCCTTCCATAATGCATCTAATTCAACCTCATTTCTTCCTGCTAAAATAGCAACCTAAAAGCCCTAAGAGTTAATTCTACGTAATTTGCTTCTTCAATACTTCAGATTTCTGCTATGCTTCTAAAAGCTACAATTTCATCCAATTTAAAAATTCTTCCAGCCGTCATTTGGCCCTTCTCTTCCCACGTCTAACTTATTCTCAGGCCACGTAACCCAGAAAATCATCTCTTAGGGAACATTTTAAGAATTAAGATACAGTAAAGGTAAGAGTAAAACTTCAAGTGTTCAGGCTGAACGCCTAGCTCAGGTTTAGACGATGGGTACATGAGATAGGGGGAACCGAACAGATGGAGAGATGAGAAGAACAGGAAGTCCGGGCCCTGGGCCCGCAACGGCAGGAGGAAGCCATCTTCCCCTCCCCTCAAATACCTTTCTTTGCAGAAAATGAGTATTTAAAAAAAAAAAAAACCTCACCTTCTATACACAGTAAAAAGCCTGTAAATTCACCTCTCTAGAATCACAATGTTAGGTAGACCAGCACCAGGTGGTGGGAGAAACGGCTGCATTGTGGGATCATCTGCAGTTTCTAGAGGAGGTCTGAGGCATGGTGACTAAAATTACAGAGCTGCTTTCAGGTCAGAAAACAAAGTACAAAGTGTGTTTTTGTTTGTTTGTTTGTTTTTGAGACACAATCTCGCTCTGTCACCCAGCTGGAGTGCAGTGGTGCCATCTTGGTTCACTGCAACCTCCCTCTCCTGGGTTCAAGCTATTCTCGTGGCTCAGCCTCGCAAGTAGCTGAGATTACAGGCCTGCACCACCATGCATGGCTAATTTTTGTCTTTTTAGTAGCGATCAGGTTTTGCCATGGTGTCCAGGCTGCTCTCAAACTCCTGACCTCAGGTGATCCACCTGCCTCAGCCTTCCAAAGTGCTGGGATTACAAGCGTGAGCCACGGCACGCGCCCTCAAGGTGTGGTTCTTACAGTGATAAGCCAATTTCCAAATGGCCTCTTTTTCCCTTTCCACTTCACATTTGCTACCCTGGCCAAACACCGCATTTCCATGTGATGGGAGAAAGGAATTCCAAAGCCATGAATTTGGGAGCGACGGGTGGAGTGCAGTGTCCTGTGTTCTTTATGTGGCTGTGAGGTACTGCCGCTGGTTTCCTAGTTCTTTTGACCTAGATTTTCTGCTTCCTCCCTTGCCCCCCTCAGCACACACATACCCACATGTCCTTAGTGACACCAACAGTCACATTTGATGTTGGAAACTATAAAGTTTTCTGTTCTCAGCAATCTCAAACTCAAATATGGGACACACTTTTATTTCTTCAGAGCAAATGACTAAATTCAAAACATACACACACAATGCTTTAAAGAACGTATAAACCCTTCCATGTCCTATTCAGAGCTGGAGGCCTCCCTCATAAGAATATCACATTTGATGGAATTGTATTTTTTTTAAAGAGTCTACACTTTCTGAAGAACTTTCAGGTACCGGGGCTCATTTGATCCTCACATCAGCTCTGTGAGGTGCCAGCTGGTTATTATTATCTCCATTTTTCAAATGGGTAATTGACTTGGCCAAGATCACATAGCTAGTAACAGAGTCAAGCTAGAAACCAGGTCTTCTCATTCCAAACTCACGACACTGTCCCCCTCCACCTTGGAGTGATGTTAGAAATAGGTCATCATCGGCCGGGCGCAGTGGCTCACACCTGTAATCCCAGCACATTGGGAGGCTGAGGCGGTCAGATCACGAGGTCAGAAGTTCGAAACCAGCCTGGCCAAAATGGTGAAACTCCATCTCTACTAAAAAAAAATACAAAAATTAGCCAGGCATGATGGCGGGCGTGCTATTCCTAGTAATCACAGCTACTCAGGAGGCTGAGGCAGGAGAATTGCTTGAAACCAGAAGGCAGAGGTTGCAGTGAGCCGAGATCGTGCCACTGCATTCCAGCCTGGGTGAAAGAGCAAAACTCCACCTCAAAATTAAAAAAAAAAAGATATAGGTCATCATCTCTGGCTCAAGAACTTAGTTCTCTTTCCATTGTCTTCCCATCTTCTTTTCTGGGAGAGAGAAGCCCATGAGTCCTGTGACTTCAATTCCACCCGCTTTCTGGTGACTCTGAAACCCCAGGCTCCAATCTCAGCCTTTCTCCTGGGTCCAGACTGACATATCCAGCTGCTCCCTGACTTTTTCTTCTTAGTTGAAGAATTCAATTCACAATCACCCACATGCAATCTGAAGTCCATGAGCCCTTTCTCAGCCCTGCCTCCTCTCCTGTATCTTCTATTTTTGTAAAGCCATCACCACCTACTCAGTCTCCCAAGCCAGAAATCCAGAGGCATCCCAGAATCCTCTTCTCCCTTCGCTTCCAAGATTGGTCAAGAAATCCTGCCTGTTTGCTTCCAGAATTTCTCTAAAATATGTCCTCGCCTCTTCTTAGCCCACACCCCAACATCTCTTGCCTGGAGGGCTCTGCTCATCTTCCCAGTTTCTCTCCCGGCTTTACCCTTCCAATCTACCTTAATGTTCTGATCTCTGATACAGAGCGCTTGCTCTCTCTATCTCAACCTCAATCTCTCTCTCTTTTTAATTAGAGACAGAGTCTCTCTCTGTTTTCCAGCCTGAAGTACAGTGGTACAATCATAGCTTACTATACTCTTCAACGCCTGGGCTCACGCAATCCTCCTGCTTCAGCCTCCTGATTATCTGGGACTACAGGTGTGCTACCACCATGTCTTGCCAAGTTTTATTTTTATTTTCGTAGAGACAAGGTCTCGCTTTGTTGTCCAGGCTGGTCTCAAACTCCTAGGCTCAAGCAATTCATCCCACTTGGGCCTTCCAAAGGGCTGGGATTACAGGTATGAGCCATCGCACCCAGCCAGAGTTCTTTCTTAACTCTAATTCTTACTGTTCCCTGCTCAAAATTCGTTAAGGGATCCCCCTATATTTCAAGATAAAAATATAAACTTTTCCACATGGACCACAAAGCCCTGTGTATCTAGTTTCCCCTCTGTCTGCTCCTGGATTCACAGTCTACATTCCAGCCACCTGAAGGCATTTCACTCCCAGAATGCACCACACCTCCTCAGAGCAGAAGGAGGAAGTTCCATTGCCATCTAACTTGGCCTCAGTAACTCCTTTCGTTGCCGATGGAAGTGGTCCCTCCTCCACATATGGATGCCTTTTCTATTTCTGCTTTCCCCTTTATCATCGTACTTCTACCAGTTAAGATATTTTCAAAACAAGAAACATAAACTAAAAACTGGCTTAAACATAACAAAGACTTGTAATTTCTCAGCTTCCAGAAGTAGAAAGGCGCCTGGGTATCTTCTAATTCAGTGGATCAGTGACATCATCAGGGTTCTTTCCATCTTTTGTTCTGTTATCCTCATTTAGAATTATTATTCTAGTCTATGTCATAGACTTAAAAAAATTTTTTGTTTGAGAGTCTTGCTCTGTCGCCCAGGCTGGAGTGCAGTGGCATGATCTTAGCTCATTGCAACCTAGGCCTCCTGGGTTCAAGCAATTCTCCGACAGGTGTGCGCCACCAGGCCCAGCTACTTTTTGTATTTTTAGTAGAGATGGCGTTTTGCCATGATGGACAGGCTGATATCGAACTCCTGGCCTCAAGTGATCTATGTGCCTCAGCCTCCCAAAGTTCTGGGATCACAGGCGTGAGCCACCACACCTGGCCTCAGACTTTCAAAACATTCTCAGTGGCAGTGCAAAATATTTGTCTTTTAATGGTGAATCTCATTTTTCAAGAAACCAGAAGCCACATACAGTCAAGTCTGGTGAGTAATATGAGTAACCAAGGTAGGCAGTATATTTGGGGTCACAGTGAAGGTAAGGCCACAGAGTAACATGACAGAACTTAAAGCAAGTTTAGAAAAGGCATCCCGAGTATCTTGAGTTCCAGCCAAACTATCTGTGAAACACACAGCATGTGAACATGAAGAGTTACTGTTTTCAAAGCTGGCCCCACTGGGATGTTTAAATTTGAATCTGCCTGTTTACAAAACAAAAACATGGCCAGGCGCAGTGGCTCACGCCTGTAATCCTAGCACTTTGGGAGGCTGAGGTGGGCAGATCACCTGAGCTCAGGAGTTCGAGAGCAGCCTGACCAACATGGAGAAACCCCATTTCTACTAAAATACAAAATCAGCCCTGCGTGGTGGTGTGTGCCTGTAATCCCAGCTACTTGGGAGGCTGAGGCAGGATAATCACTTGAACCCAGGAGGCAGAGGTCACGGTGAGCCAAGATCAAACCGCTACACTCTAGCCTGGGCAAAAGAGCAAAACTCCATCTCAAAAAAAAAAAAAAATTTATAAAAGGGCCTCATGCAGTGCCTCATGCCTGTAATCCCAGCACTTTGGGAGGCAGAGGCAGGTGGATCACCTGAGGCCAGGAGTTCAAGACCAGCCTGACCAACATGGCGAAAACCCATCTCTACTAAAAATACAAAATTATCCGGGCTTAGTGGTACGTGCCTATAATCCCAGCTACTCGGGGGGCTGAGGCAGGAGAATCGCTTGAACCTGGGAGGCAGAGGTTGCGGTGAGCTGAGATCACACCATTGCACCCCAGCCTGGGCAAGAAGAGCAGAACTCCCATCTCAAAAACAACAACAACAAAAATTAAATTTTTGGAAAGTGTCCTGGTTACCTAGAAGAGAAAAAATAAAACAACCGTGGGTAGCCATTCTTGCCTTCCCACCGTCTGCTCAGATGAGGAGCTTAAGGTGCTGAGACCTGGGACAAACGAGTTTCCAAAATAGAAGAAGGGATTCAGGGTAGTCCCTGAGCACCAAGTCTGGGAGGCCAAGCCACAGCGAGGTGATAGGAGTGGAAGCCACAAGTGGACAGAAATAACTTAGGGTCAGGAGAAGCCAAACTCCAAAGGTAAACCCACAGCCTGGGGTAAATCCTAGAACAGCTGTTGACTTCTTTCCACTTATTAACCTAGTATTTTCCTCTAAGTCCAAAAGGGCTTTCTTTACCCTGCAGCCCCTTTTTGTCTTGTTTTTTGGTGTCCTTCCTGCAACGTCTTTGTCCTTCCTTTTCTTCCATGTAGATTTTAAGTAACCAAGAGGAGTGGTTTAAGGCGGAGCTTGGGAGCCAGGAAGGATATGTGCCCAAGAATTTCATAGACATCCAGTTTCCCGAGTAAGTATTCGCAGCCTGCCGAGATGGGCCTGCCCACGCACACTCCTCTTACTTTTCCAGCAGTCACTAAAATTATCCATGCGAACCCAAGACATTGTCAAAAATGGCTGCCTCTGGAGAGCTCTCCGGAGAGCCTCCAGAGCATGCAGCTGAAGGACACACAGGAGGGAGACTTTGCATGCCATTTCATTCCCTTTTGATTTTACCATGTGCATGTATTGCTATTTTAAATTTTTCTTTCCTTTTCTTTTTTTTTTCTTTCTTTTTTTTTTTTTTTTTTTTTGTGAGTCAAGGTCTCACTCTGTCGCCCAGGCTGGAGTGCAGTGACGCCATCACCACTCACTGCAGCCTCAAACTCCTGGGCTCAAGTGATGCTCTTGCCTCAGCCTCCTGAGTAGCCGGGACTGCAGGCACATGCCACCACGCCCGGCTAATTTTGTTTTTTTAGTAGAGACAGGATTTCACCATGTTGGCCAGGCTGGTCTCAAACTCCTGACCTCAAGTGATCTGCCTGCTTCAGCCTCCCAAAGTACTGGGATTACAGGCATGAGCCACCATGCGCAGCCTATTTTAAGTTCTGGGTTGTTTTGTTTTGTTTTATTTTGAGATGGAGTCTTGCTCTTTTGCCCAGGCTGGAGTGCAGTGGTGCAATCTTAGCTCACTGCAACCTGGGTCTCCCGGATTCAAGCGATTCTCCTGCCTCAGCCTCCCTAGTAGATGGGATTACAGGCACACACCACCACACTTGGCTAATTTTTGTATTTTTAGTAGAGATGGGGTTTCACCATGATGGGCAGGCTGGTCTCAAATTCTTGACCTCAGGTGATCTGCCCACCTCAGCCTCCCAAAGTGCTGGGATTACGGGTGTGAGCCACCGCACCCTGCCTATTTTCAGTTTTTATAAAATGAGTTTGTAAACTCAAATTTCAATCACAGGGTTCCCTAGAATTCCAAAGGGGGCACTATTGACCACCCACTCTGCTGTTCTCCCAAGCACTTCTCTGTGACCTCCCAATCCTGACCATCCTCACCAGGCTCTCAGCCTTCACTCTGTGGGCAGACACTCCCTGCCTTCAGTAAAGCGTACTCACCCTAGTGTGAGAAGTCAGTGGGGGAAGGGAAATTCCCTTCCTAAAGAGGAAATAAAAAATGAAGATTGGGCCTCATTTGTCTCAAGAATTGACCGCAAGGGTTAGATAGAAATCTAATCTTGTCTCAGAACCAGGGTCTGGCTTAAAGAGCAAAAGTTGGTAGAAAACCACAGTAGTGTTGGTGACTCCAGTGACATGCAAGAGCACCACTCATGGTGAACCGGTGCGGACCACCAAGCTAAGAGAGCGACCACTGACCTTGACGGGGCCCTCGATGCTGCCCAGGAATCTGCTAGGTGACCTCTGCGTACCCCACCTGCTCCCCAAACCTCCAGCCCCTCCCTGCATCACTCTCAACCCCTGGCCTTGATTCCAGGTTCTCTGAAACAATGAAAGCCAGCAGAGGTGAAGCTCCCAGGTCCCCCGCCCCCAGCCCCACCACATTCCCCTGCCTCCTGCAAGTGTGCTCAAAGTCAGCCTTTCCTGCAGCTGGCAGACATTCTCCTCTCTCTCCCACACCAACCTTCTTTCCCTCTCTGCTGCATCATTCCTGTCAGTAAACACACCCGCTACAATTCCTCCCAACTTACCAAAACACAAGCAAAACAAAACCCAGGGGCCAGGTGGGTTTTGTGGTGGCTGATGCCTCTAATCCCAGTGCTTTGGGAAGCTGAGGGAGGATCACTTGAGGCTAGGAATTTGAGACCAGCCTGGGCAACATAGCAAGACCCATATCCACAAAATTTTTTTTTTTAATTAGCTGGGTGTGGTGGCATGCGCCTGTAGTCCCAGCTGCTTGGGAGGCTGAGGCAGGAGAATCGCTTGAGCCTGGGAGTTCAAGGCTGTGGTGAGCCATTATTATATCACTGCACTCCAGCCTGGGCAGCAGAACGAGACTCTGTTTCAAAGACAAAATATTTAAATAAATAAAACAAGGAAACTCTTAATCCCAAATCCCCTTCCAGCTGCCACACCGGTTCTTCAGAAGGAGTGTTTGCATTTGCTATTTCCACTCCTCACCTCCCGACCCTTCACACCAGGCTCGCCATGTGCTGCAGCTCCCAGGGGCCATCTCAGCACGATCTGCCCTGGGGATTGCTCCCCCACTGGAATACCTTCTTCATTTTGGCTCCAGGATGTCCTTCCTCTGGTTGTCCTCCCACCTCCCTGGCCACTCCTCCTCAGTATCTTGTGCTGGTTCCTCCCACTCCCCAGCCCCCTATGGGTTTAGAATGTCTCCTTTTCAGCGAGGTCTTTCTCATCACCATGCCTTACATTAATCTCTCACCCCCAGCACCCCATCCGCCCTCTCTGTTTCCACGTTCTCCACAGCACTTACCGTCATCTGACACACTACAGATCTTAATTATTTTGTTCTTTATTGTGTGTCCCCCTTGACTAGAAAGTAAGCTCCCTGAAGGCAGGGGTGTGTATCTGTTCTGCCCACTACCATGTCCCCAGTGCCCGGGAGAGGGCCCAGCACAGTACTAAATGTTCAGCAAAGCTATGAATGAATGAATGATATTGAAACCATGGCCACTCATGTCTAATATGCAGTATGTGGTAATTTTTACAAATCTTGAAAGAAGCCCCCTATCAGATTTCAGTCAGAGGACAAATGTGTATTTCTTAAATCCCCTTCACTTCTAAAACATTTCCTTTGCGATATGACTGCGGTGGCGCACACCCCATTCTTTCTCCCATCCCCACTGCATTTCCTTCACGTGGCAGTGGTGTATGTGGTGCTCTCTTATTTAACCCTGTAGGACTGTGTGGCAAATACTCAGGCAGAATCTCCAGGCCACCAGAAACTGCTGCTTTCAGCCCCCTTGGAGCACAGCCAACCTTCCCCCTCAGTCCCCGGTCTCCAATAAATACATCCTTCCTGCTACCCTTGTCTCAGATTCCCAAACTCTGGAAAGCACAGAGAATTGCTCACAAAGGAATCCAAAGCCAAGACCTGACCAAAGCTAAAGGAACATGCATCTGAGCCTTCTGGTGGCAGTAATTAGAGCAGCCACCTTGAAGCAATGTGACACAGTCCCACCTTTGGCCGCCGAATGATTACAGACACTCATTTTGCTTGTCTGTGGTCAAGAGAGGTCTCTGGCCTCCTGCCTTGAGGCTGTAGCCACAGCTTGCTGGCTCTGTGTAAGTGTTTGACCTATTTCGTACATGCCACACTGTGTGCAGCCGTGCTTCCAGGAGCTGCCACCCTGACCGTTCCGCTGAAAGAGCAGCTTCTCCTGTTTCTTCTTTTCCATAGTAAAGATTATTTCCCAGCCTGGATTTTTTGGGGCGGGCCCAGGATCTGGTTGTATAGACGCCACTCTCTGGCTGCTGCCAGCCTCACTCCTTTCTAAGCGTGTACACTGGGCTCCCTAGGAACACTGCAGCCTCTGCTAGGCACGCTGAGCACAGCCCCCTTGTGCTCCCTGCCAGCCCAGGCGACGTACATCCTAGCTTATAACTCCCCCTTAATGCCCAGGGAGGAGCCTCTAGACCACTGAGGTTCCAGTGTGGGCATAAGCGCCCCAGGCCCTGCTCAGCCGGCTGCACCTGGTTGGCCCCAGTGCCTGAAGCGATCCCTTCCCTCCTGGGTACATCCTCCGTCCCTGCAGCTCTGGTCTATTCCGCAGCTGCCAGCAGGCGGCTGCTTCCTGCAGTGAGTCACTCCCACACTGCCCCATTTTGGTGCAGCGACACATTTCCATGATTCGTTTCCCAGGCCGGAGACTTCTCCTGGAGAGAAGGAACAAAGAGGATGAGTCAAGGGGAATGCTCCCTCGCCTTTCCTGAAAGCCGCCTGGAGCACTGGTTTGATTTCAAAAAGCACCTGGTCCCTCTTTGGTCTCTCTCTGCTCCCTACTGTAGAGTACCCAGCCTCTTTCCCTCTGTGTCATCTCTTCTCCACGTCTCCCTCCTGTCACTCCTGTGTGTCATCCTGATCCTCTGGTTCGATCTCGTCCCACAGATGGTTTCACGAAGGCCTCTCTCGACACCAGGCAGAGAACTTACTCATGGGCAAGGAGGTTGGTTTCTTCATCATCCGGGCCAGCCAGAGCTCCCCGGGGGACTTCTCCATCTCTGTCAGGTACTGATCATTTCTGACACCACACTGGCCCTTCTCAGCCTGTTAACCTCCCAGAATGCTGAAGTGACCTCTGGAACATGACCTAGTGATGAGAAGCATGGTGGCCAACGGGCCAAGCACGGCAGCAGCTTCACAGCCTTCCCAGAACATGCATACACCACTTTTTAGCACACTGGTGTGTGTTCAAAATGATTTCTATGCCCATCTGCCTCCCGTTCCATCCCAGGTGCTTCTGGAAGGGCAGGATTTTCCTCTACTTCATCTTTATGCCTTTAACAGTGTCTTGCACAAAATAGAGAAACTCAGTGAGTATTTGTGGCAGGAAGGAGGGAAAGGAGGAGGAGAACTCCCACTTGTCCACATCCATCTGGGGGTTTAAATCTTAACCTTTTCTTTTACGATTGATGCATATCTGAAGAAGAGTCAGGGAAAAATAGAAATCTCAAGTCATTGCTGTAGGATGCAGGGGCGGAATAGGTGTGGTACCTTTCTTCGCCCATCAGAAGAGTCACAGCTGACACTCCTACAAAAGAGGTTAACAAGAGGAAAGTGAATAAATTTATTTAATCAAAGATTCGTGTGACACAGAAGCCTTCAAAAATGAAGACCCAAGACCCAGGGAAAGCCCTCTATTTTTATGCTTAGGTTAAATGAAGGGTAGCTAACCCTGTAGAAATGGGATTGGACAAAGGGGGTTTGATCTAAGGTAACAGACTGAGGTGGGAAACTGAGCAAGGCCTGTCCCAAGTCATCTTTTTTTTTTTTTTTTTTGATAGGGTCTCTATCTGTTGCCCAAGCTGGAGTGCAGTGGTGCAGTCATGGCTCACCACAGCCTCCATGTTCCAGGCTCAAACAATCCTCCCACCTCAGTCTCTAGAGCAGCTGGGGATACAGGTACACACCACCACACCTGGCTAATTTTTTTTTTTACTTATTTTTTTGTAGAGGCCGGGTCTTACTGTGTTGCCTAGGCTGGTTGCAAACTCCAGGGCTCAAGCAGTCCTCCTGCCTTGGCCTCCCCCACAGTGACCCTCTAGTCTCTCTAACCCACTGTGAAGAAGAGGAATTCTAATTTCTGTGACTCACTCTGGGGGAGAAGGAGGAGCAGGAGACAGGAGGGCAGGAGAACCCCAAACATAGACTTTGCTTCCAAGGCTGCTTCTGAAGCCTTGCAGTCTCCTTTGGTTCGAAGCACCCAGCATGCCAAGGGGTGTCGTTTTCTGAGCCCCAACAAATACATGTATAGTTAGTTGTTGGCAGCTAAATAAAAAGAAAGGCTACTTCAACACAGTACAGTACAGCAAAACCGAAAACAACAGAACAAAGCCAAGGAGGGCCAGGAGCGCGGGAGGACTGTAACAGGAAGCCTCACTAAGAGGCAGCACCCTGTAGGAAGTGACTCAGTCCACGTGTAGACACTACACAGCCCTAAACTCGGAAGCCCGATTCCGAACACACTGTGTGTGGTCAGCATGTTGGGGATCACAAGTCACATATCAGACTTGACCACATGTGAAACTGCAAGAATGTGATGGTGTTAGCAGATCAGGAGAAGTAAGTAAAACCTTACTACCGAGTTACTGACAGGAAATACCGATCTGGTTCATTCAATGTATTTTAAAAGGCATGCAGCTTTTCCTTTTCGTTTTTAGTACAGAAATCCAATCTCAGGTAATAAACCATGGCCGCTTTGCTATTTAGAAAGAATGGGTATTTTAAAGCATAGGTAGGAAAGACTAACAACAGGTCAACAATTTGTACGCATGCATAACTTTAAAGTGGTCTCTTTAGCATTGCGCTTGCAATCTTGCTTAAACTCTTAATTTTCCTCAATAAAAACTTTCTTTTTATAGCTTGAGAAATGGTAATGTTTAGTTCAGGACAATATTGATGTATCCCAAATTCTAACCTTGTTAGGTCTTCATTAATGAAATTTTCCTCCATTAACATATATTACAAGTCAAGGTCGACGAGGTGGCACATCCCTGTAACCCCAGCACTTTGGGAGGCTGAGGTGGGAGGATTGCTTGAGCTGAGGAGTTGGAGACCAGCCTGGGCAACATAACAAGACCTCATTTCTACTGAAAATAAAAAATTAACCCAGTGCGGTGGCACATGCCTGTGGTCCCAACCACTTGGGAGGTTGAGGTGAGAGGATTGCTGGAGCCTCGGGTGTTGAGGCTGCAGTGAGCCGAGATTGCGCCACTGCACTCCAGCCTGGGTGACTGAGCAAGACCCTGTCTCAAAAGAAAAAATAATTATGTACATATATTGTTAGAAAAAAATAGTTATATTTAACATGTATGTATATATATTACAAGTAAAAAAAAATTTTTTTTTTTTTTTTTGAGACGGAGTTTCGCTCTTGTTACCCAGGCTGGAGTGCAATGGCGCGATCTCGGCTCACCGCAACCTCCGCCTCCCGGGTTCAGGCAATTCTCCTGCCCCAGCCTCCTGAGTCGCTGGGATTACAGGCACGCGCCACCATGCCCAGCTAATGTTTTGTATTTTTAGTAGAGACGGGGTTTCACCACGTTGACCAGGATGGTCTCGATCTCTTGACCTCGTAATCCACCCGCCTCGGCCTCCCACAGTGCTGGGATTACAGGCTTGAGCCACCGTGCATGGCCAAATTTTTTTTTTTTTTGACATAGAGTCTTGCTCTGTCTCCCAGGCTGGAATGCAGCGGCACGATCTCGGCTCACTGCAACCTCCGCCTCCCGAGTTCAAGCGATTCTTCTGCCTCAGCCTCCTGAGTAGCTGGGACTACAGCTGCGCGCCACTACACCCAGCTAATTTTTGTATTTTTAGTAGAGGCAGGGTTTCACCATATTGTTCAGGCTGGTCTTGAACTCCTGAACTCATGATCCACCTGCCTCAGCCTCCCAAAGTGCTGGGATTACAGGTGTGAGCCACCACGCCCGGCTCAAGTCAAATCTATTTCTTAAGACTCCTCTGTCTGCCCCATTATAAACTTGACCAAGTAATTTGTTAGACTGAGAGGTATCTCTTGGGCCTTTGGTTTGCATGAAAATGTCTCTGACTTTTTCAGCTAGAAACTATGGTTTTTGTGGGTTTTTTTTGTTTTTTTGAGACAGTCTCACTCTGTCGCCCAGGCTAGAGTGCAGTGGCACGATCTTGGCTCACTGTAACCTCTGCCTCCCAGGTTCAAAGTGATTCTTATGCCTCAGCCTCCCGAGTAGCTGGGACCACAGATTCGCACCACCACACACAGCTAATTTGTGTGTGTGGGCAGGGATTTAGTAGAGAGGGGGTTTTGCCATGTTGTCCAGGCTGGTGTTGAGCTCGTGGCCTCATGTGATCTTTCCACCTTGGCCTCCCAAAGTGCTGGGATTACAGGCATGAGCCATCATACCCGACCCTGAAACTATGGTTTATATTTCCTTTATTAAAGTGAATTTTACAAAACAGTCAGCCTTGACTTCTGCCAAAGTCTTCCTCTGATATTGAGGCAATGAAGCTTCTAGTTATGGTGACAATTACCATAATCATTATCACATCTTCTACAGAAATGTAGTATAATATATTCCAAGGCAAAATCATTGTTAATTATTTTTACATCTGTCATGGGCACAGATAATTAAGAGCTAATTGTAGTTCTATCACTCAGCATTTGTTAAGGGCCTAAACCACTAGATTTTGGAGTCTAATGCCCTGAATTGCATCCTTTCCTCTGTTCCTCTCCAGGCTTGAGACAGTGATCAGGCCTCTCCTTTTAGACCCAGATGACCAACTACAACCCTCACATCCACGCTTACAGCTCATCAGCGTAAAAGCGGCAGTGTTTCACACTCTGACTTCTTTGACTATGAGGTGGTGGATGAATAATTATAATACCACAAGCATATTTCCTCCTCCTCACCCAGATGTGAAGGGTAATGACTTTGAGTTGAGCCACGTTGCCTTAGAATGAAGAAATTATCACCAGTTGGTGGCCAAAAACCAAGGGGAAGACTACGCAGTGATTGTGATGTGTTGATTACCACCCCACATCAGTCAAGCGAGAGACCACTTGTACAACCTTTGGCTTCACCCTGCTATGAGCAAATCCCAGCACATAAGATGAGATTGAGGGTCAGAATTTCCATCTCCTTCTTAGCACAGATCCCTAAATCCATCCCGAAGAAACCTCCACTTACTCTCAGAGGTATCTTTATTCTCTGAGACCCTTTAAAATCCTTGACCTTTCTTTTATACCAGGCAGTTGGCATCACTAGTGCCAGTTTATTTTTAGATATACATGTATGACTGAAAAATAAACTTTACATCCAAAAGAGAATGGCTTGGCAATGAAGTAAAACTGGATCTAATGGTAAAGGCTCAGCCCACTCTTCCTAGGTAGATAAAATCCATTTTCTCTAGCCCTGGTTCAAATGTGTCCCTTCACTTGTGAGTCTAGACTGGTATCAAAAGGTGCTGATATAAAAGACGTTATCATGTTTACATAGCTTGACAGGCCAAGCTCACTAGACTGGAGTCAGAGACTCAGGGGTTCTGGCCTCAACCCTGGGCCTCTCTGAGTCCTCTTAGTGTTCTCATCTGTGAAATGGAGAAGTAAGGCTAAACAATCTCCAAGATCCTTTTCAATTAAAACTCTATCATTCCGCCCGGCATGGTGGCTCACACCTGTAATCCCAGCACTTTGGGAGGCCAAGGTGGGTGGATCACCAGAGGTCAGAACTTTGAGACCAGCCTGACCAACATGGTGAAACCCAATGTTTACTAAAAATACGAAAAAGTTAGCCGTTAGCCAGGCATGGTGGTGGGCGCCTGTAATCCCAGTTACTCAGGAGGCTGAGACAGGAGAATCACTTGAACCCAGAGGCGGAGGTTGCAGTGAGCCAAGATCGTACCACTACATTCCAGCCTGGGCAACAGAGTGAGACTCTGTCTAAAAAAAAAAGAATAGAAAGATAAAAAACTTCTGTGATTTCATACAAAGCTATTTCCCCCAAAAGCTGAAAACACTTTGTAACCTTATTTATGCAAAACATAAACCAAGATCAAGAGATCCTTATTACATAGAGAACAAATGTGACATATTTCTTAGGGAAGAGAGTAGCTTCTTACCTGCCAGTGCTAGTTTATGAGCTTAAAGGAGATGGTTCAAAGTACTTCTTATAACAGAAAGATAATAGGAGCTTGAAGTACCCACTGAGATTTGCAAATAAACGTCGTGAAAAGGTCTTTGATCTCTTAGTCATTACAGCACTTGAAACATGCTTTTCTTGTCAAAGGTTAGTTCCAGTGTCCAAGACAAATTTTAGCTCATCTGATTACCTTCTTCCGATGTAAATCCCCTCTAGCATAGCTTGTATCCTAAGTGGTCCATCCTACAAAGCTCCTGCTGAAGCCTGACTGGACTGGCCCACCTGCCTGGTGATGAGGGAGTCATCCAAATCTACATCTCCTGCCTGAAGAGAACTGCATCCCAGATGCAAGCAGCCTGGAGGTAGGGACGTCATCACAGTGTAACATACAGTTTCTTTTTGCCTTGATCTCCAGGCATGAGGATGACGTTCAACACTTCAAGGTCATGCGAGACAACAAGGGCAATTACTTCCTATGGACTGAGAAGTTCCCCTCCCTAAATAAGCTGGTGGACTACTACAGGACAACCTCTATCTCTAAACAGAAGCAGATCTTCCTCAGAGACAGAACCCGAGAAGACCAGGTATGCTCCAGGTCGCGATCACCCCCAATCTAGAAAGTTTAGGCAGCCCGAGTTCTCACTCAAACCACCAGGAAAAATGCATAGGCGGGGCAGATCCTCTGAGTAGACTGAAAGACAGAACTGTGAACTCTGAGTGCAACACTTCCTAGTTGTGTGACTTTGGAAGTTGTCTGAGCCTCAGTCTCCTCATCCATAAAATAGGGATAAGGGTAATATCACCCCCCAGGGCGGCGATGAAGGTGGGAGAGGATAATGCGTCTCATGCCCTCTGTTATTCCTCACCACACTGCACTCAACAAACATCAGCGCTTACCGCAGGTGCTGGGTCTTCTTTTTTCTTTTCTTTTCTTTTCTTTTTCTTTTTCTTTCTTTCCTTCTTTCTTTCTTTCTTTCTTTCTTTCTTTCTTTCTTTCTTTTCTTTCTTTTCTTTCTTTCTTTCCTTTCTTTCTTTCTTTCTTTCTCTTTTCTTCTTTTCTTTCTTTGTCTTGCTCTGTCTCCCAGGCTGGAGTGCAGTAGTATAATCTTGGCCCACTGCAACCTCTGCCTCCCAGGTTCAAGTGATTCTCCTGCCTCAGCCTCCTGAGTAGCTGGGACTACCGGTGCGAACCACCACGCCTGGCTAATTTTTGTATTTGTAGTAGAGACAGGGTTTCACCATGTTGGTCAGACTGGTCTCGAACTCCTGACCTCATGACCCACCAGCCTCTGCCTCCCAAAGTGCTGGGATTACAGGCGTGAGCCACCACACCCAGCTGCAGGTGCTATTTTTTTGTTATTTGTAGACATTGCTACACCAAAGTTTTCAACCTAGCTTACGAGTTGCCCAAGGATGAAGGAGTTGGGGGTGCTACAGACAGGGCATTAAGGAACAGCCTAGAGTCCGGGAACTAAATCAGCAGGTGGAGTGTGATGACAGGATTGGGGGTGGGGAGGACACAGGAGGAGAAATCTGCACTTGGAATTCTTGCTGTTGGAACTGTTTGGAATATAGAGTGTTGCTTTAAAAGAAAATGCATCCAACAGACCTGGTATGAAATCCTGATTTAATCGCTTAGCTACTCGTATTACCTAGCCAAGTTAAGAAACCTTCTGAGTATCAGTTTTCTCACCTGTAGAGTGGAGAGAACAATAAAACCTCCCTCACTGGACTGTTGTGAGGATTAAATGAGGTAATACAGCTAAGTACCACCAGAGTCTGGTCCATACTAAGCACTAAGAAAATGTTAACTTGGCCGGGCGCGGTGGCTCTCGCCTGTAGTCCCAGCACTTTGGAAGGCCAAGGTGGGTGGATCACGAGGTCTAGAGATCCAGTCCATCCTGGCCAATATGGCGAAACCTCATCTTGACTAAAGATACAAAAATTAGCTGGGTATAATGGCGTGAGCCTGTAGTCCCAGCTTCTCAGGAGGCTGAGGCAGGAGAATCGCTTGAATCTGGGAGGCGGAAGTTGCAGTGAGCCGAGATCACGTCACAGCACTCCAGCCTGGGTGACAGACTGAGACTTGTCCCAAAAAAAAAAAAGAAAAGAAAATGTTAACTTGCCTCCCATAAGTAAATTCACACATGCAGGCACTCACACATAAACACACACACACACACACACACACACACACACACACACACACACCAATTTATAAACTATTTTTCAAAGGAAATAACATGGTTATAAGAGACAGGTATCACAGGAAGAAGCATTCACTAGAATAGCTGAAATCCTAGGGACAGGTTATTTGAAAAGGCATTAAGACCATGAAAGCAATATGTGCTTTGGGGAAGTCAAGAAAATCCTCCTTTTCAAGAAAGGCAAGGCTGAGAAGTTACTGCCAAACGCGGAAAGAAGTTCCCACCAAGTGCACACAGAACTTCAGAAAGGAAAACAAAGGTTAGCCAAGACCTTGTGAATCACTCTAAGCAGGAAATGGACAGAGTAACTCACTAGGATGTGCATTCAGAGATAAGAGAAGCAGAATCAAATTGCATTAAATGGGATTGAATGAGTTGATAATTGTAAAGCGCTTAGAACAGTGCCTGGTATATACTATGCCCGGGGCCCTATGTCGTTGTTTGTTACATGAAAATAACAATAGGATATTTCTGTTTTAACATTAGGGAGAAAGGCCTTGCTTCTTCCCCCACACCCAGCGGCAGGCCTGGTTCCCATGGTGTTGCAAAAATGTTGCTGTTTGGGTCTCTATCACCAGGCTATAAATGACAGTTTAAAATCATGCAAAGTCAACAGTGGAGCTTATCTAGAAGGTAGGATGTCCAGCCATGTGGCAACATGTGATAAGAAGGGGTGGCATTGTGTCAGTAAAATGGAATATTTTAGCTTGATTACACAGAGAAAAACAAGCACCCCTGGAAACTGACTAAATGGCTACCAGGCAGAAAATGTTAGCCTGTGAACCCCAGACCTGAATTCCTAAAACTGGAAGGATCCAAGAATGCAGAGGCCACTTTGGAAAATGTGAAGGTCTGAAGCATCAATTCTTTCAGCTGTCCCCACCTCACCAGCATGGGGGCAGGATGAGCAGGGTCTGAGAACAACTGCCCGAGGGTGGGGCAGAGCCAGAAGATCAGAGAGGAGGACGCATCTGCATCATCTCTGCTCTCTCTCCCAGGGTCACCGGGGCAACAGCCTGGACCGGAGGTCCCAGGGAGGCCCACACCTCAGTGGGGCTGTGGGAGAAGAAATCCGGCCTTCGATGAACCGGAAGGTGTCGGATCACCCCCCGACCCTTCCCCTGCAGCAGCACCAGCCACAGCCTCCACAGTACGCCCCAGCGCCACAGCCGCCACAGCAGCGGTATCTGCAGCACCACCATTTCCACCAGGTATCTGGAATGAAGGCAGCGGGCACAGTCCGGTGAGGAGGAGAACCTGCCTCCCCTCCAGGCCTGGCCCAGCCCCCCCACACACATACACTCTCTCTCTCTCTCTCTCTCTCTCTCTCTCTCTCTCTCTCTCTCTCTCTCACACACACACACACACACACACACACACACACACACACACACACACACACACACACACTCTTCTCCAGAGGACTCAGGGAACAATTGCTTCATTTTCCTATTAGCAGAATTCCAAATCTATTCATGCCCCTTAACCCATCTGGCTGTGGAGATCCACAAGAAAGAAAGGCTTAATATGCATAATGGAGCCGTGTTTGTTTACCTATCTATCTATCTATCTATCTATCTATCTATCTATCTATCTGTCCCCCGCCTTGTTCCCAGTGGGATTTCAGGGGGCTTACTTTGATGGACAATACAGCGAGATAACATCGTTTGTAAATTCCTTAGCAGGGCACGCAAAGTCCTTTGTGAGCTGCCAGAATCTATTTCCCCAGCCTCATCCCTGCTACCTGCCCCACCCACCTGACTCCCCGTGCAAACACACATTCCAGCAACCCCACACTACTTTAGTTACCCGAATGGTCTATTGTGTTTCCTCTCATGCCTTTGTGGCATTTTACATGCTGATCCCTCTGCCTGATAAGCCCCTCCCTGGCCAGTCCTACTCCTCCTTTAAGCTAGAGTTCAAGCATCACCTCCTCTGTGAAGCCTTCCTTGATTTCCCAGGCAGATATAGACATTTCTTCTCTCTGCTCACTTACCACTTAAATGTGTGTGGTTCCTCCTCTAAATGGAAGCTCCATGAAGTCAGAGACCTTCTCTTTCCAGCTATATTTCCCTTGTATCTGCTATTGGATACATGGTAGGTGCCTGATAAATATTTTTGACTGAATAAATAAAACCCACCTTTGCCTTCTTTGCCTTCAGAACCTAAGGTCCCTTTAGACCTCAGGTCCTCCTCCCCCTCAGCGTGGAGGTTTTATTGTCATCATCAGTAAGTATTCCTGGAATATACCGGCTGTGCAGATGGCATCTGAGCCAGGCACTGGGGGAGCCTGTGGGAGATGTCCTGGCAGTGGGGTGACCAGTCTTCTGTTGTATGTTTCCAGGAACGCCGAGGAGGCAGCCTTGACATAAATGACGGGCACTGTGGTGCTGGCCTGGGCAGTGAAATGAATATGGCCCTCATGCATCGGAGACACACAGACCCAGTGCAGCTCCAGGCAGCAGGGGTATGGGAGCCATCTCTCTCTGGGATCCCTGGAGAAAGGCCCCAGGACAGAGCTCAGTGGAGGAGATGAGGCAGGAGAGACTCAAATCACACAGATCTGGCTGGGTGCGGTGACTCACGCCTGTAATCCCAACACTTTGGGAGGCCGAGGCGGGTGGATCACCTGAAGTCAGGAGTTTGAGACCAGCCTGGCCAACATGGTGAAACCCCATCTCTACTAAAAATACAAAAAATTAGCTCATATGGTGGCAGGGACCTGTAATCCCAGCTACTTGGGAGGCTGAGGCAGGAGAATCGCTTGAAATAACATCTGCTGGGAGGCAGAGGTTGCAGTGAGCCGAGATCGCACCACTGCACTGCACCTGGGCGACAGAGTGAGACATTGTCTCAAAAGCAGAAACAAAAAACCCACATAGATCAAATGAGAGATGATGGACCGTTCGGGGAGGCCTGGGGCTGAGCGAGCACAGCCTCAGTCTGGTGCCAGGCCTTCCCTGTTCTCATAGTTCTTGGTTCTAGTTCTTCATCATCTTTATCATAGTTCTTTACCATGGCCTTTATCAGACCTTTTTTTGGGGGGTGGGGTGGGGGGTGAGACAGGGTCTCACTCTGTCTCCCAGGCTCAAGTGCAGTGGCACAATCATGGCTCACTGCTAGGCTCAAGCTATCCTCCTGCCTTAGCTTCCCAAGTAGCTAAGTGTATTATTTGTAGAGCTAAGCTCTCGATACATTGGGCAGGCTGGTCTCGAACTCATGGGCTCAAGCAGTCCTCCTACCTCAACCTCCCAAAGTGCGGTGATTACAGTCATGAGCCACCATGCCTGGCCTGTGATCCATCTTGACTTGTGACTTGATCGCCCTAACACCCAGGGCTGTTACTTGGGACATATTGCCATTCTGTTTGTCACTCAAAGAAGCTGAAAATACACCTATTGATGTGGAGAGAGTGATTCTCAGGGAGCCTCTTGGGACCTTGGACAATAACATCTGTTGGTAAAAGTCCTGAATCTCCAGAGTGATGCTGGTGAGTTCTGGTGAGCAGGATAGCTGGGCGTGGTGGCTCACACCTGTAGTTCCAGCTACTTGGGAGGCCAGGGCAGGAGGATCGCTTGAAGCCAAGGGTTTAAAACCAGCCTCAGCAGCATAGCAAGACCCCATCTCTACACATTTTTTTTTTTTGAGATGGAGTTTCACCTTGTTGCCCAGGCTGGAGTGCAATGGTGCAGTCTCGGCTCACCGCAACCTCCGCCTCCCGGGTTCAAGCAATTCTCCGGTCTCAACCTCCCAAGTAGCTGGGATTACAGGCATGTGCCACCATGCCCAGCTAATTTTGTATTTTTAGTAGAGAGGGGGTTTCTCCATGTTGGTCAGACTTTCTTGAACTCCTGACCTCAGGTGATCCACCTGCCTTGGCCTCCCAAAGTGCAGGGATTACAGGTGTAAGCCACCGCACCTAGCCTACAAAAACTTTTTTTTAGGTTACAGAGGGGTCAGCCTTCAGGGAATGTTGCTCTCAAAGGACTTGGATGCGGTGGGAGGAGCCCGCAGACCCTTCCCTGCCTGCCCAGCCCACAGCTCAGTAGAGCCTCTTCTGTGCTTCCCCCAACAGCGAGTGCGGTGGGCCCGGGCACTGTACGACTTTGAGGCGCTGGAGGATGATGAGCTGGGATTCCACAGTGGGGAGGTGGTGGAGGTCCTGGACAGCTCCAACCCATCCTGGTGGACTGGCCGCCTCCACAACAAACTGGGCCTCTTCCCTGCCAACTACGTGGCACCCATGACCCGATGAACTCTTCGGGGGACAGAAGCTTTTTGTCTGACGCTGCCCACAAGAGAGAGGGCAAGTAAAAAAGGCTGGACTCCATGACTGTATATACATATCTCTCTCTGCGTCTCTCGGTGTACACACACAACTTTTTATACTGGTTATTTATTGGCAATTGGGCTGGTAATTAGTTAATGCAAAAGGGAACTCAGGTGGAGAATAATATTCACACTTGCTTTTCTGCTCCCCTCAGGGGTATGTGGAAGGCAGCCGGGGGAGTTAGGGGGTGGGGCAGGGAAACGAAAAGGAGCTTTGTCCTGGCCTGAGCTGTCACTGCTTCCTCCTTGTCTTGGGAATTTTCACTGAGAACAGCTAAGCAAAGACCACACCTCGGCACTGGATGCAGAGCAATAGGGTGGAGTTGAACTTGGTGGGGCACGTCCCAGCTCACCTGCAAGTCCCGCTTACCTGGAGGGTTTGCAGGCAGCTCTCCTCATGTCCTCCAAGGGGTGGGCACTGCTGCATTAGGAATTAAGGTGCAGCTTTGTGCCGCGGGCAGCAGCAAGTCTGGGCGGGGATGTGGAAGCAGGGCTGGGTTGGAGAGACCCTGCCTGTGCGAGGCTAGCCTCCTAGTCACCTGCTAGCTGAGACTTTTATCTCTGTTCAAATTAATGTTCCTTGGGCCTTTCAAATGAATGTTCAATGTGAGACGCCAAGTACTGGGAAGTCAAGAGATTTTTCTAAGGTCCCCAAGCAACTTACTCAATGTAACTGTTTCCCCAGCTATGAAGGAAATAGCACCCTAGATTCCGTAAAGTGCTTGGAGAAGCTCTGGCTGAGAATGCTGCATTTTAGAGTCATTGTTTTATGGTGACAAGGGTGTATCTTCAGGGCTCTGTTCATTTTCCGTCGGGATTTTCTGTTTCGAAGATGCCCTGCCCAGTGGCATGGGAAAGCAGCTCACTTGATAAGAGCATTGACTGTCAACTGATTGACTAAGCTTGACCCCAGGTGGAAGCTGGCTTTGACATGAGTTTCCTGCTCGGTCTGATCATTGCCGTCCTCCCGCCACCCAAGTGTTGCACTTGGAGCAAGGAGCTCCACCATGGCTGTCCCTCACCACCACCTCACACTAGAATCATGTGTCCCAGGCTCACCCTGGAGGTGCAAAGCACAGGTCAGCCTGGCCGGGGAGGAAAGAGACACTGGAGAGGAAGCTCAGGGCCTTAGGGGAGGCCAGGCACAAACACTGTCTGCACCGGGGCATCCAGAGTTTGTGAGTGTGGGCGAGCACCCCTGCGTGTGTGCACATGTATGCTTGCATGCACATGTGTGTGCACCCCTGTGTGTATACATGTGCTTTTCTATGCATATGTGTCCACCCCTGCGTGTGTACACGTGTGCTTGTGTGTGCATATGTGCGCATGCGTGCACGTGTGCTTATATGTGCGTGCACTTGTGTGCATGCGTGTGTGTGTGCTGAGACAGGAAAGAGGAGTGAAAGCATTGGTGAAGGAACAAGGAAGTTTTCTCTTCCCCAGCCTCTCCTGCTCTAAGGAGGGACGGGGTGGGGGGCAGCCATTATTGAAGGTGATAGAAGAAAGATTTTCTGACTCAGAAGTAACTGCCAGTGTAGCACAAGCAGTGTCCCTTGTGACTGATTCTACAATTCTCTGATCCCCATGCTTCCTCCTTTAGAGGAAAGAGGAAAAAAGGGACTCTGTGGTGGGTATCAGGAAGCAAAAGAAAATAGCCTGGTGGAGGCAGGGGGGGTTGAGCATGAGTAAGGAGCGCCTGCAGCTTATGGAAGTGAAGGCAGAGAGGGAAAGGTAGCAAAGACATCCCGGAGGATCCACGGGCAGCAAGAGAGGCACGGGGGGGAAGGGGGAGAGCGAGTGGGCCCAGGGAGGACAGCGGTGTGCAGCTGGTGGGCAGACATGCAGGAGGAGGGGTGATAAGCTGGGAAAGGAAGAATCAGAGCGGAGAAACCACTGCTGCAGAAGGCAGGGAGCAAAGAAGCATGAGAAAAAGAACAGGAGAAAGAACAAAGGCAGAGAAGACCTCATCAGCTATTTTGGTGCTAAGTAATGTGAAATGCTACAGTAAATAAAAGTCAATAGTAATGTTTGATTTTACAGTGTTTACAAACCATATGTTTTAAACAGCCCACAAACTTCATCCAGTTGTCTGATGATGTGGGAGGACCAGCTCTAGTTAGACAGAGGTACGTGATTTGATTCTGATCGAGGTTTGTGCCTTGAAAGACTTCTCAAGAACACAGTAATGAAACAAAGTGTCCTTGTTTGGCCAGGCTGTGTCTGGTGTCCGTGCCACATACTCCTCAGGTAGAGAGTGAGAGCGAGACCGAGGGGTGCCAGGGGTCATCGGCCTGCAGGAGCTGACCCCATAGGCAGGCAGTGTGAGCAGAGCTTTTAGAACTCTGGAACTCGGTGTTCTGTTCTAGCAAAAGCCACTGCAGAATATTTTTTACTGAGATGCCAAATCGTCCTTGCCCTGTTCATCAGCACGCCTCCATTCAGAAGGAAGCAGGAAAGTCATCCAAACCACCCACAAGCAATGAGGGCTCTTAGCAGCCAGGTGAAGAGGACAAGAACCAAACTGTCCACATTACGGAGGGAAGGGGAAGGAGCGCTCAAGCCCCCTCAGCCTCTGGTGCTGCCAGGGGAACACCTCCTGTGTGTCTCCACGGGTCCTAGTTTCTACCTGACAGCATTTCAGTGCCAGGGGAGGGTCCACTCAGAGCCTCTCACCAGCCACACAACCGGCAGCCAACACACTGTCTCCGAGCTTGGCTGCAATGCTCTACGTGACTTGGGAGCTTGGGGCTTCCAGAGAAAAGCCAGCTCCTGTTGGACCAGTTGGGTTTTCCTAACCACTTGCTGTGTCTCACTATATTTCAAATACCTGGCACCTGCCGCTGCCCACCCACTTTTAGATGGCCCTAGGGTGACCTAACCACGGTGCTTCTCAAAATGTCAAGTACTTACAAATTGCCTGGGGATTGTGTTCAAATGCAGCTTCCTTCTCGGTCCTGAATTACTAACAAGCTACTGGGTGCTGGGTGCACATGTTAAGTAGCAAAGGCAAAGAACTCCGCAGTGAGCAAAACTCTAATTGGGCTCTTTTTCTGAGGATATTCGGCCATTTTTCTTTGCTGCTCACGAATAGGTCGCTTTGGCTTTGGGACAGATGCAATTCAGAACTGTTGTTATGACATCATTCATATTTGGCAGCGCAGGTGACTTATTTTAGCATCTTTAAAATAAAAAAAAAAAACAGTAACGTGAGAGGAATTCAGATGAAATGCAAACAGGAATTTCCTACGATAATTACTATTTTCTCATCGTAATTATTTTAAACATGAGCAAGAAAATTGTGAAAGCTTTGTCAGGAAATCTTTAGACAGAAAACTGACTCTGGTCAGATGTGGCCCTGGTTGAGGCAGGGGACTGTGGTCCCAGCTAACCTAAAACACAATGGCCCACTCTAGGACAGATTAGCAAGGCCAAAATATTTGCTGTTTGCCTTGTCGAAGCCAATGTTTTAGGCCGTCTATACCAAGGCAAAGGTGTGAGAAAAACCTTTATTGTCTCAATTCTTTTTTTTTTTTTTTTTCTTTTTTTGAGATGAAGTCCTGCTCTGTCACCAGGCTGGAGTGCAGTGGCGCCATCTCGGCTCACTGCAACCTCTGCCTCCCAGGTTCAAGCTATTCTCCTGCCTCAGCCTCCCAAGTAGCTGGGATTACAGGCACCTGCCACCATGCCCAGCTAATTTTTGTATTTTAAGTAGGGACAGCGTTTCACCATGTTGGCCAGGCTGGTCTTGCTCTCTTGACCTTGTGATCTCCCTGCCTTGGGCTCCCAAAGTGCTGTGATTACACGCATGAGCCACAGTGCCCAGCCTGTCGGAATTCTTTTTAAAAACTGCTTCTTCAGTTCCTCCCCTTCACCCCATCATCTTGGCCATGCCACCATCACCTGTCCCTTTGGCAACTGCCAGCTTTCATACCTCTCTCCCTGCATTCCCTCCTGTAGTCTGCTCCTCCTCACAGATGCCAAAACGATCTTTGTAAAAATAAATCTGATCACATCACTCCCCTTCCTGCTGGATTTAGGCTTAAGTCCAAAGTCCTAATGTAGCCCTGTGAAGTCTGGCGCCTGCCTCCCTCCTCAGCCTCCTCTTCTTGCTTTTATGCTCCTGCCCGACTGGCCTTTCAGCCTCCAAATGGCCAAGGATTTGTCCCCAAACCTTTCACACTTGCCATTCTTGCTGCCTGGAGGCACATCCCCTGCTCCTCACCCGCTAACCCTGCTAACTCTTATTCATCTCCAGGTCTGGGTTTGTTTGTTTGTTTGTTTTTGAGATGGGGTCTTGCTCTGTTGCCCAGACTGGAGTGCAGTGATGCGATCTCAGCTCACTGCAGCCTCTGCCTCCCGAATTCAAGTGATTCTCCCACCTCAGCCTCCTGAGTAGCTGGGATTACAATGGTGTGCCACCACGCCTGGCTAATTTTTGCATTTTTAGTAGAGATGGGGTTTCACCATGTTAGCCAGGGTGGTCTTGAACTCCTGACCTCAGGTGATCCGCTGCCTTGCCTCCCAAAGTACTGGGGATTACAGGCGTGAGCCACCATTCCTGGCCCAGGCCTGGGTTTAAATGTCACTTCCAAACAGTCCTCCCCTGCCCCCTAATCTAAAATAATCCTTCTCCTAAGATGATCTCATGAATCCTGTGCTTTTCCTGAATAGCATGTACACAGATGATGGCACCAGACTGAGCTGTATGGCTATTAGGCTGTAAGCTCCGTGGAGCAGGGGTCACCTCTGTTTTGTAAACTATTGTACACCCAGCACCTAGCACTGTGCATGGCATGCAGAGGCTCAATAAACATTTCTCTAATGAAGGCGTGATTGGACCTGCCTCATCTCATCTGTTCACTCATTTTGTAACTCCATGTCTTGGGCCTAACAGACCTGGAGATGCAAACGAGGTCATATTTACAATGATATCCAGGTTCCAGTAGCTGTATTCACTGCCCTCAGACTCTCCTCCGGTCACTTCCGAGAGGCCGAGAGAAGAAAGCTGGTGTCTTACACGTTCAGGCACCAGTATACTGAGGCTTCCTGCTCCGGTGGTGTTCTGTCGCCCTACACATCCTCTGCTGACAGTGCCTACCCAAATGCTGCGGACCCACTACGCACTTCATTTATGTGCTGGTGAACGGCCCCGATCCTTCAGGACACCAAATCTGCCCTGTAGCCCACCTGACAAAGAGACTGGGGAAGAGGTGGAGTGCAGAATGATCTGTGCCCAATTCTGAGAGGCGCGGCTTAGACCCTGCCTCCTCCAGCATCTTCCGTGAGCTTCTCAGCCAAGCCCTCCCTCCATCGGACAGAACAGGGGTACCAACCCTTCCCTCCATCATTTCTTTTTTCTCTTTCTCCCTGCTGCCTCTTTCTCCTTTAGCTCAAAAGGAGGGGAATGTACCTACACGCCATCGTTAGCTCCCAGCTAACCCGAAGCACAACGGCCCACACTGGGGACAGATTAGCGTGGTCAAAATATCCAGTTTGCTTTGTCTAAAGTCAACACTTCAGCCTATCCATACTAAGCCACGGGTGTCCCCTGTACCATGCCATTTATGCAGTAGGTACCCCCTAGAAGCCCAGTAGGTGTGTACCCACCTGTTTGAGTTTTGCTGTGATTCATTCATTAAATCAACAAATACTTACAAAGCACCTCTTCAGGGTCAGACACAATCAGCCACTGCGTCCTTCACATCTCTCAACTCTCTCCCTTCTCTGCACTCATTCCCCAGCCACTGCCTTACTTCAGACCTCTCTCACTGCTTTCCCAGGTGACTGCAGTAGTCTTCAGTGCTGGTCTCCCTGCCTTCCTGGCTGGCCCACTGTAATCCAGCCTCCAGGGCAGCCAGGGAGATCTTATTCACAAACAGGCTGATGACATCAAGCTCCTGCTCAAATCCTTCAGGGTGCCCCATACCTTTCAGGCTGGAGTTTAACCTCCTTAGCTTCACACTGAAGGCCTTTTATGATCTCCCTGCTGCCTTGTTTGTTCATCCACATCTTCTACCTTTCCAGTGCCAAACACCCTTTACTTCAGTCCCTTAGAACTATTTGTGGTTCCCAGAATGAGTCATGTTTTCTCAGACCTCTGAGTCTCCTACATTGTGTTCTTTTTGCCTGGAATCCTTTCTCCCAGTTTTGTCTAGACAAATGCTATTAGGACTTTCTGTGATGAGAGAAAAGCTCTGTATCTGCTCTATCCAATGTGATAGCCACTAGCCACATGTGGCTACTGAACACTTGGAATGTGGCTAATACGAATGACTGAAATAGCCACGTGTGGCAAGGGGCTGCCTATTGGGCAGCACAGGTCCAGACAACTGTTACTTACTTTCAAATCATTAGCTCAGGGCTCCAGGGCTCCACTGGGAAACCATTCCAACATTATGGTTGACATAAGTACCCACCCCCAGTTATGTTCCTGTAGTAACCTTGTTCTCCCTCTGACCCAATACTCAGAACACCATTGTCAGTGATTCACTGGTCTGCCTCCTCCACTAGACCGAATATTTTTGAGGTCAAAGGCAAGTAGTGCACTTAATAAATGGTTGACACCTGGATGCAGTGGTGTCCTGGTAAAGGTTTCATAATTGGCTCTCTCTGAAAGGAAGCCCTGACTTGTAGTATTTGCCAATTCTGTGATGTAAACACTCCCACCATATGCCAAGAGAATGAGAAGACAAATCACAGACCAGGAGAAAATATATACAGAAGACGTATCTGATAAAGGACCGTGATCCAAAATACACAAAGAACTCTTTAAAACTCAACAATAAGAAAATAAATAGCCTGACTTAAAAATGGGAAAAAGACATGAACAGACAGCTGATGGAAGAAGATACAGATAGCAAGTGAAGAGATAAAAAGATGCTCAATATCATGTCATTAGGAAAATGCAAATTAAAACAGTGGAAGAATGCCCTTACACCTGGAAGAATGCCCCTTATATAAAATGCTGACAACACCAAATGCTGGTGATGATGTGGAGCAACAGGAACTCTCATTTATTGAAAGTGGGAAGGCAAAATGGCACAGCCACTGTAGAAGAGAATTTGGCAGTTTCTTACAAAACTAAACTTAATCTTCCCATAGGATCCAGCATTCATACTCCTTGGCATTTACCGAAAAGTGTTGATAACATCCACACAAAAACCTGGACATGGATGTGTATAGTGGGTTTATTCATAATTGCCAAAACTTAGAAGAAAGCAAAATGACCTACAATAGGGGAATGAATAAATCAACTGGTACCTCCGGACAATAGAATAGTATTCAGAAAGAAATGAGCTACCAAGCTATGAAAAGATGAGAATCCTTAAATGTATATTATTACTATTATTATTGAGGTGAAGTTTTACTCTGCCACCTCAGCCAGAGTTCAGTGGCGCGATCTCAACTCATTGCAACCTCTGCCTCCCTGGTTCAAGCAATTCTTCTGCCTCAGCTTCCCAAGTAGCTGGGATTACAGGTGCCCACCACCATGACTGGCTGATTTTTTTTTTTTTTTGAGTAGAGATGGGGTTTCACCATGTTGGCCAGCCTGGTCCCAGACTCCTGACCTCAGGTGATCCACCCACCTTGGCCTCCCAAAGTGGTGAGATTACAGATGTGCGCCACCACACCCAGCCCTTAAATGCATATTGCTATGTGAAATAAGCCAATATGAAAAGGCTACACGCTGTACGGTTCCAACTACACGGCATGCTGGAAAAGGAAAAACTAGAGAGGCAGTAAAAAGATCAGTGGTTGGAAGGGTTGAGGGTGGGAAGGATGGATATGCAGAGCATGGGGGATTTTTTGGGCAGTGAAACTCCTCTGTGTGATGCCACAGCAATAGACACATGGCATGACACATTTTTCAAAACCCATAGTATGCACAACACGAAGAGTGAACCCTAATGTAAACTATGCATTCCGGGTGATTATGATGTGTCAATGTAGGCTCAACAATCGTAACAAATATACCACTCTGCTGGAGGATGTTGACAGTGGGAGAGGCTGTGCGTGTGTGGGGACAAGGGGGATATGGGAACTCCCTGTATCTTCTGTTCCATTTTGCTGTGATCCTAAAACTGCTGGAAAAAAAAAATCTACTTAAAAAAGAACAACTCCCACCATGGCAGATTTCGGACTACCAACATGACGTCATTGAACTCAGAGTTGGGAAGAGATGTGCACAATTGTTTTTCACGGGCAGATAGGAGCCAGCCCCAGCACACCACCACATGATTGAATGAATGAATGAATGAATGAATGAAACGTGCCAGACACTGGGAATACCAGGGATGCTGTCAGGCTCTTTAGGGAGAAGTCTATTCAGACCTGCAAGAGCTGGGCATGCAGCTGCTAGTCCGATTTCAGTTCCAACTGAGGAGATAAAGGATCAGGGAGTCATATCTTTGATTTAGTCAGTAAATCATCAAGATATGGGACATTTGTTTTCTTTGGGTCCTTTACCTTTAATACCAAGACTTGTCAAGGCATTTATTCAGCGCCCCACTCAGACTAGTGCCAAGCGAGTGACCTGGAAGCAGAGTCCTGTCCAAAAGACTCTAGAACAAGAGGCTTATGATTTCCCATCATGAGAAGTCCAGAGACAAGGCAGCTGTTGGCTGGCTTAACACAATGGCCCAACGATGCATCAGTGATGCCTCTGAGCGTCAGTGGTGTCTCTTCCCAGTGGCTGTTGCAGTTCCAGACATCACATGCAGACGTGACAATGTCTAATGGAGAAGGGGCACATTCTCTCCCAATTCTAATTAATGAGGAAACCCTTTCCTTCCTGGAAGTCCTTCAGCAGGCATTCACACAGATCCCACTGGCAAGACTGGATCCCATGCTGTTCTTAAACCAGCCATTTCCAAGAGAACGAGGCCACTGTAACTGGCTTAGGCCAATTGGTAGGGCACTTCTGGAGGCAGAACCTGGGAACCCAGGCAGGGCTCTGCCCACAGGAAGAAGCAGGTGAGGGTTGGGGGAATGGCTGTCAAAACCAATATACAGGGAACATTAGAAGAAGAGTCACTTTACAATCATGCCATTTCATAAATGTAATTTCGTGATATAATTAGGGAACAAGAGGAGCATGAAGGAGCACAGCTCCCCTGCCATTTCCACCGCCACAATGAGACGCCTGCAAGGACACAGACACAGCCTTTCCATCAGTCTTCCTCTATGGAGCCCCATCCACACTGAGCCGTCAAGTCAATGGGGACAGGTTCCATGCTGTTCAGAGAAACCAGCATGGTACACAGTGAGGTCCTGCATCCACTGCAGGGGTGGACGCCTCAGCCAGTCCGGGGTTGTGCCATTATCCCTGAGACTCACTCATCCTGATGTGAGATTCTCCTCTGCGGGGGCTTCCACGCATGGCTCTGTGCAGGGTCATTTGCGGCCACACTGTGATGTGGGCGATCCCATTTCTACACATCTAAATTCCCCAGGGCAGGCAGCATGTGGTATCTCACTCCCTCAGCGATAACCTGGTTAGGGGAAGTTGCTAGGTAACTGCTTCCCACACTGGAGGAGGCTTAGTTACCATGGCAAGTCCAGATGGGTGGGGGATGCAGAGGAAGGGAGCGCTGGCTGGGGGTCTGCAGCCTGGATTCTGTCCCCACTCTCTCCTGAGCCCCTGGACCTAAGAGGAGTCTCTCAGCCCCTCTGTGCCTCAGTTTCCTCCAAGTACAATGAAGGAGATGCTGGGTGTCTTCTTGCTCTAAACCACTGTTGCATGCAGATGCATACCCTAAGTGAACACTGATCCTTAGGCCCCTCTTCGGCAAGGAGCAACTCAAGATGGGTGCAGAAAAGGAATACACACAATG